CTCTACCACTTGAGCCACAGCGCCACTTCCGGCTTTTTTCTTTTTTTGCTTATGTGGTGCTGAGGAATCGAACCCAGGGCCTTATGCATGCAAGGCAAGCGCTCTACCACTGAGCCACCTTCCCAGTCCTAGCTCAGTACTTTTTGTTGTTAAATCTGTATGAAAAGTTGCACAGTACTTACTTTGTGGTATCCAGGCCATGTACACATCTTTCAGAGTGCAAGAAATGATGTGGAGCTGGCTTTTGCCTTTATGCCTCTCGCTTATACTGCTGTCTTATACTTCCTGTACTAGTTATCTCTGTGGTAAGTCCTGTCTTCTTTCCCCTTTACATCTTGCTGTTGTCCCTGGAAGAAAAGAGGCAATAGGAGACCACGTCCCCTTGGTCCCAGGCTCTTAGTTGGTGCAGTTGACATCACTGAAATCCTTTTGTGCATCACTGCCTCCCTCAGTGACCTTCTGTCCTTCCAGGTCACTTACTTCAGCCTCTGGTACTACAATAAGCAGAATCAGCGCCGATGGGTAGATCTGGAAAAACCTCTGAAGAAACAGCTGGATAAATACGCACTGGAGCCTACCGTGTACTTTGGAGTGGTGTTTTACGTGCCTTCCGTTTCCCAGCTGCAGCAGGAGATTACCAGGTAAGGAGTCTTATACCTGCAGTGGATGCACAGCCATCTAGTGAGGTCCAGTGAAGCCAAGGTTGAAGGCAGCAGGAAACTTGCTTCTCCCACCCTACATTTTAGCCTCCATATTACCAACGGGTTCTGCTATGTGACATGTCATGATTTTTTTGTTCTGGGTTGTGCATTGGATAAGTTATTCCTTGAACAGAGGAATGATTAAAGAGACGTTTCTCTACTGTCTTATCAACACTCTCTCTCTTTCTGTCTCTTTGTCTCTCTGTCTCTTTATCTCTGTCTTTGTGTGTCTCTCTCTGCCTCTGTTCCCCCCCGCCCCCCTCTCTCTGTCCTGGAGCTTAATCTTAGGGCCTCACACTCTTATTTGGCTTTTTTCTTTTTCTTTTTTTTTGTTGGTCATGGGGCCTGAACTCTGGGCCTGGGTGCTGTCCTTCCGCTCTTCACCCCAAGGCTATGCTCTACCACTTGAGCCACAGCGCCACTTCCAGCTTTTTCTGCTTATGTGGTGCTGAGGAATCAAATCCAGGGCCTCATGCATGCAAGGCAAGTATTCTACCACTGAGCCACCTTCCCAGCCTTATTTGGCGTTTTCATTCAGGGATGGTACTTTTATCACTTGAGTTATACCTCTACCTCTGTTTTTTTTGGTGGTTAATTTGAAATGAAAGAGTCTTAGGGACTTTTCTGCCCATGTCAGCTTTGTGCTTTGATCCTCAGAGCTCAGCATCCTGAGTAGCTACTTGTAAGAGTGAGCTACTGTCTTCCCAGTTCTATGAACTCTCGTAGTGATGTCATCCTTGATGTTTTTGCTGATTTTGTTTCTGACCCTTTGCAATATGGGAATGAGAGGATTTAGACAACAGAGTCCAAAAATCTGTGTTTATTCTTCAAGAAACTGTGCCAAAGGTTTCATTTTAATAGCCTCATAACTCTGGAAGCTGAATCCTAGAGTGGGATGAGGGGAAAATTGGGACATAGGAGGTACAGAGTTACCAGTCAGAAAGCATCAGCTAGGAAGTATACTTAAAAGGGACACAGAAAAGGAAGATGATATTAAGAAGCATGATAGAGAAACTAGACACTTGTGGTCTAGATTTTCTCACAGTTACATGTTGGAATCTTCTTTTTTTTGGGTGAAGGAGGAGGTATTGGGGTTTGAGCTCAGGGACCTTGGTGCTTGCTAGGCAGAAGCTTTCCCACTTGAACCACACCCTCGTCCCTTTTTGCTTTAGTTTTTTAAGGAATTTTTGTCTGGGACCAGCGTTGGACTGCGATCCTTACCTGTGACCTTGCAGATTCGTACAACCATGCCTAACTTAAAGACTGAGATGGATTTTACTGACTTTTTTCTGGTGGTTTGTTGGAGATAAGAGCCTTACAGCCTTTCCTGTCCGGCTGGCTTTGTACCATGATCCTCAGATCTCAGCCTCCTGAGTAGCTAGGATTACAGGTGTGAGCCACCAGTGCCCAGCTTTTTTAAATCTTTTTGAATCTGACAGTCTGAGTCTGAGTTACTGGAAGAGGCTGGACCACCACATAAGCAAGAAGCAGATGGTAGGAGCAACACAATTACAGTGAAAGAAGTCAAAAATAGAAATGCTAAAGAACAAAGTGGAAGCTGGCAGGGAAAACTTGAACTAATCACTATCTCAATTTAAACATCTTCGTGGCTCATATCTGGGAAGGAAAGTCTGTGATACTCTTATTTCTAATAAAATCCCAAAGAATCAGAAGTGGAGTTGTGGCTCAATGGGTAGAGCACTAGCCTTGAGCAAAAAAAAAAAAAAGTAAGCAAGCTTAGGGACAGTACATAGGACAGGTACACACACACACACACACACACTCTTTCTCTCTCTCTCTCTCTCTCTCATATTTTATTTGACTGGTATTTATGTTCCTCTACCCCAGAATGGTAAATGGCACTGTGTCTTGAATGAAGATGATACTGACTTTATAACATTGACATTGTTTTTCATAGGTATCAGTATTACTTGCAGCTGAAGAAAGATATCTTGGAAGGAAACATTCCTTGTACATTAGAGCAAGCAATTCATTTAGCAGGCTTAGCGGTGCAAGGTACGTAATGCTTACGGGGCAATGAACTGTTCTATCAGATTAAACTGTTATAAAAAAACTAACTTCTATATGATCTCTAGTAGTGTTTTTAGATTAGGGAAATATTCTATTCTCTAAGTGACTTCCTTGTTTACTTCAATGAAATATGGGACTTTTAGAAATCTCTAGAAATTCATTGTTATGTATCAAGGCAATAAATAGTTCAGTAAATAGAAATACATATATATATATATTCAGAGCATTTTCTTTTTCTCTATATGTGTATACTGGTACTGGAGCTTGAACACAGGGCCTTGTGCTCAGCAATTTTTCTCATGACTGGCAATTTAACACTTGAATTATACCTTTAGTCCAGCTTTTTGCTGATTATTTGGAGATGGATTTTTTTTTTTTTTTCTCCTGGGCTGGCTTGAACCTTGATCATCCAGGTCTCAGCTTCCTGAGTAGCTAGGATTATAGGCATGAGCTACCTCCTAGGTCCTCATTTGATTGCTTTGGTTGGTTTAAAAACAGACTATTGCAACCTGTAGCAGCTTATCAGAAAAATGTGACTTCTGAATGAACCATACCATCAGCATATTGCGAATTGAGTTTTGCTGTGCATGTTTTGCTATGCCAAGAAAATATAATCAGTGTGAATATTTGTCTTTTTTTTTTATAGCTGATTTTGGTGACTTTGATCAGTATGAATCCCAAGACTTTCTTCAGAAATTTGCCTTATTTCCTGTGGTAAGACTTTTGGTTATTGGGCCTCTTTATAAACATTTTTCCCCCAAATTTCTAACAATTTCTAAACAAATTTTTCCTAATTGTATAAACAATTTCTTCTTAATTCCTGAAATGAAGTCTGTATGCTGGAGGTCTTAGGTCGGGCTTAGTGTTAAGTCAGCTCCCTTTGGGATAGAGCCCAAGTGTCAGATCATGGAAACTGACGGACAGGCACCCTGCTGTGCCTAAAGAAATTCTTTCTGTATTTGAATATGAGTCTAAGAGAGATGCTTTCTTGGCTTCTGAGTAGCACACAGCACTTTTGCTTTCAACTGGAGGCTTGAAATATCACAAAATTGATGTTGAAATGAATTTGGCTTCTCATCAGAAAGTCCCAGCTCAACTTTTTAAAGTTATTGCAGTTGGAAATGACACGAAAACTATATTTGAAACAACTGAGCGAGGTGGAATGCACTCCTGAGAATCTACACAGCTAGCCAGAGAATGCACAGGATATTTTTGCGCGGGGCTCAGGAGTGGCTAATGAGTGTTACCAATCTGAAATAACTCAGCTAAAACCTTCTCTGGGATGAGTAGAGAAGGCAAGGCAAGTTATTTGCGTTCCTGAGCAGAAGTCAGTTAAGTCCTTAGAAAGATCACAGTTAGCTATATAAGCCAAGATTACATTTATAAGTGAACCCCCAAATAGTGATATTATAGTTTTTCCTTTTTCTTTTTGGTCGGTTGTTGGTCTATGAACTCAGGGCCTGGGTGCTGTCCCTGAGCCTCTTTGTGTTCAAGGCTAGTGTTCTACCACTTGAACCACAGCACCACTTCCAGTTTGCTGGTGGTAAATTGGAGATAAGAGTCTTATGGACTTTCCTGTCCGGGCTGGCTTTGAACTGTGATCCTCAGATCTCAGCCGCCTGAGTGGCTAGGATTACAGGTGTGAGCCACCAGTGCTGGGCTTACTAGTTACAGTTTTACCTGAAATGATGAGTCAATAAGAAAAGCAATGATTCTTCCTAAGCTTAGTTTTTGTTGTTGTTGTTGTTTTTTGCTTTGTGTTATAGGAGTGGTTACAGGATGAAAAAGTATTGGAAGAAGCAACCCAGAAAGTGGCCTTACTACATCAGAAATACAGGTAACATTAAGATATAAGATGTGGAACTGGTATGGAATTAATGCCTGCGTGGATGTACAATATGTGTTGGTAGATTAAATACATATTGAAAGCTTAACTGTAGTCGCTACTACTGCTTTCACAGGAAGTTCATGGTAACTTACCATGTGCCAAGTGTGGAGCACTTGCCTGTATTGGTTTATTTCTTCTCCATCTTACCAATCCGGAACTGAGGAAATAGAAAGTAACTAGTCATTGAAAAATACCAGTCTGTCACTCCATGTATTAGAAGTTGGTTTGCTAACCAAACCTTTATAGGTACTTTATGGGGAGAGTTCTTTTTCTGTTCTCTCTTCTTCCTGTTCCTTTTTTTGGTATCAGTGCTAGGACTTGAACCCAGGGCTTGGGTGCTGTCCCTTCTTTTCACTCAAGGCTGGCACTCTGCCACTCGAGTCATAGCTCCCCTTCAGCTTTTTGATGGTTAGTTGGATATGAGTCTCATGTTTTTTCCTGCCCAAGCTGGCTTTGAACTACACTCCTCAGTTCTCATCCTGCTGAGTTGCTAGGATTACAGGTGCCAGCCACTGGTGTCTGGTTTTTGTTTTCTTTTACAATTCTGTAAGAATTACATACTTGCAATTTCCTGTATACTTTTTGTTTTAGTTTTTGTGGTATTAGGGATGAAACCCAGAGCCTTGTACCAATGCTAGGCAAGTACTACTTAGCCTGGGTTCTTACTACGTAGCTTGGGCTGGCCTTGATCCCAGTCTGGGAGCCTTAGCCTCTGGAATTACAGATGTGTTCCTTCTTGCCAACCTCCATGCCAATGGTGCTTTGAAAGCAGCATTCTGTCCTCTGTGGACTGTGATAGGAGCTTTGGTACTTACTGCTGTATATACCTGCCGAGAATGTTGACTTTCTTTAATATGTGCAAGAAAACTTTTTTCCTAGTGAATGCTAGCTGTAAGCCAAATGCCACACAGTTCCAGGTACTTTATTTGCCATATAATTATAGTAATCTTTTAGGTAAATATTAGCTCCATTTTTCTTGCCCAGACTGGCTTCAAACTGAGGTCCTGAGATTTTAGCTTCTGAGGTAGCTAAGATTGTAGGTATGAGCCATGGACTTCTGGTTTTCCCCACATTCCCCCCCCCCCCCACTCCCCCTTGGTCATGGGGCTTGAACTCAGGGCCTGCACACTGTCCCTGAGCTCTTTTTGCACAAGGCTCTCTACCACTTTGAGCCATAGCTTCACTTTGGGTTTTCTGGTGGTGAACTGGAGATAAGAGGCCTAGGGACTTTCCTGTCTGGGCTGGCTTCGAACGTTGATCCTTGGCTCACCCTCCTGAGTTGCTAGGATTACAGGTGTGAGCCACCAATGCCCAGCTTTGCACATGTTCTTCCAGTAATCCAGCCTCCTGCATTTCTTGTTTGACTTGAACTTTGATTTTCAATAATGCCTGATATGTGGGGGTAACTGAACAATTACTTGGTGATATAGGAAAAAAGTGGCTTGGAGCAGGGTGCTGGTGGCTCATGCTGCCTATTATCCTATCTACTCAGGAAGCTGCAAGATGAGGATCTTGGTATGAAGACAGCTTGGGCAGCAAAGTCTGTAAGACTTATCACTAATAAAAATGATCAAAAAGCCGGAAGTGGAGCTGTAGCTCAAGTGGTATAGCAGTAGCCTTGAGCAGAAAAGGTCAAGGACAGTGCCCAGGCTCTGAGGTCAAGCCCCAAGAGTGGCCTTAAAAAGAAAGAAAAAAAAAAACCTCTGACTTTAACTTGGAGCTCTTTTAGGGCTTATCTCATCCCTTACCTCTGCTCTGGGCTCTGCTCTTAATCTGCCTAAAATTCAAGGGTTAGATGTTGAATAAGTCACCCTGGCATTCACCATAGTATTCTAGTATTTTAGCAGAATTCCAGAGTTTACTTTCTAGGTAGGGGGTCAGTCTTTGCTCCATATTGGAGGATCATTATGGTCAGTTATGCTTAGAAGCCTGCCATGTTTATAATGTATTATGTCAAATTGATATGTAGCTCGTAAGCTATAGTTTAAAAACTTCTAAGCCAGGTGCTGGTGGCTTTTGCCTGTAATCCTAGCTACCAAGGAGGCTGAGATCTGAGGATTGCGGTTTGAAGCCAGCCCGGACAGGAAAGCCCATGAAACTCTGATCTCTAATAAAACACCAGAGAACAGGAAGTGGTGCTGTGGCTCAAGTGGTAGAGTGCTTGCCTTGAGCTGAAGAGTTCAGGGACAATGCCCAGGCCCTGAGTTCAAGCCCCATGACAGACAAAAAGACAAAAAAACTTTTACTTTTGTCAACAATCTCACCAATGTCTTGTGTCTCAGGGGGCTTACAGCTCCAGATGCTGAAATGCTGTATATGCAGGAGGTGGAGAGAATGGATGGCTACGGAGAAGAGAGTTACCCTGCCAAGGTAAGGGTGGCCAGAAGACTGAGGTTCTCAAAAGTTAGGCTTGGTAAGCAGGGCACAGTGGCACGCATCTGTAGTTTCAGCTGTTTGGGAGGCTGAGCTGGGCAGATCCCTGGAGGTTGAAGTAGGCATGGGCAAGATTTGTGTCCAAAAAGAGAAAAAAAAAAAAAAGGCAACTTGAGAGAAGAGAGAAAGCTTGAATGTGCCTTGATTTGCATGACCCTGAAAACTTAAAAGCCAAGGTCCTTGTGACCAGAATTTCTGTAGTAAAATAGCACATTCCAGTTTCACAGTTTGTGCTGTGAACTGATCTGGACGTGGAGTTCCTTAGGAGTTCAGGTCCTTTGTATTTTCAGAGCTGTTTCCATGATAATCCATTCATCTTACTCAGCCTGGTTTACTCTTAGTTCTTCTGAAGGCTTCATTCCTGGAAGGCAGATTCCAGCCAGTGCGTGTTGTTGTCAGATCTGTGCAACTGTTTCTTCAGCGTTTCTTCCCTGCTCTCCCCTTTCAGGACAGCCAAGGGAGCGACATATCCATCGGAGCCTGTCTAGAAGGTATCTTTGTGAAACACAAGAACGGGAGGCCTCCTGTGATATTTAGGTATTTTTCTCCCCTCTTTCTGTGTACATTCTGTGGCTTCTGTTGGTGACAGACTTTTTTTTAAAAAAGTATTTGTAAGTAGTTAAATTGCTTCCAAGTTTCTCATTAGAAAATGGGAATAATTTTCTAGAGTAACGTTACTAATAGTCTACCTTCTTCAAAACCAAATATATAGAAAATGGTGCTTTCTTACAAGATACAAGACTTGTAAGATGCTTGAAAATATGGTCTTAATGTGAAGTTTTCATTTGGGCTCTGGGTTTCTAGGACTATTGTTGTGGAAAATCTAGACCTTTCTTCTGGCTTTAGTTATGTAATGAAATTCCTTAAATACCAACATCTCAGCAAATTTCAATTACTTTGGCAATGTTGGTCCCATTTCCCCCGCATTCCCCCTCCCCATTGTAAAAAAGTGATTCTCTTTATTTGGATCAGTCTTGGAGTGTATGTAGAGGGAAAGCCAGTAAGAACATGCTAATAGTGGTGTAAGATTCTTCAACACCAGATTTGCATATGGCTTCAGGGGGCCAATTTGTATCTTAAACCTAGTGAATTGAACCATGTTGTTCCACAGTAGAACATTAGAATTTCTCTCCCTTCCCCTCCCCCTCCCCCTCCCTGCCCCCCATAAAGCTTGAACTCTGAGCCTGGGCGCTGTCCCTCAGCCTTTTTGCTCAAGGCAAGTGCTCTGCCACTTTGAGCCACAGTGCTACTTCTGGCTTTTTGGCAGCTAATTGGAGATAAGAGTCTCATAGAATTTCCTGTTCTGGCTGGCTTTGAACCTTGATCCTCAGATCTCAGACTCCTTTTTGGCTAGGATTATAGATGTGAGCCACTTGAGCATCTGGCCAAAAGTTTTACTTGTTTTTTTTTGGTCAGTTTTGTGGCTTGAACTCAGGGCCTTGAACTCAGGTCCCTGAGCTTTTTTTCACTCAATACTGTTTCACTAGAATACTGTCACTTTGAGCCATAGTACTACTTCCAGTGGCACTTATCCAGAGATAAGTCTCATGGATTTTCCTGTCTGAGCTGGCTTTGAACTGTGATCCTCAGATCTTAGACTCTGAGTAGCTAGGATTACAGGCGTGAACCACCCCAGCACTCAGCCCACGTTATAATTTCTTAAGAGATTTAGAAAATCCAATTTAACTCCTGAGATTCTATTTTCTCTTGATAAAGAATTAAAAGTTTGTTTTGTTTTATAAAGTGGTAAAGTATATTCTATTTTGTTTTCTGGGTTGCTTTGTGCCCATCATTATTGAGAAATTTTCTCATTAGCCAAATACTGTGCCGAATGTACTCTGCATGATTTCTCTCATCAGGAGACACTCTGATGAGCAATTTTTTTTGACATTCATGCCCCCAAAAATACTTAAAATGTTTGTTAAGTGAATAGTTAAGACATTGGCAACAGACTAAGATAGGGACATTTCTACCTAGAAAGGGCTTTTCTGTTCAGGTTGGCTTTAAACCGCTATCTTCAGGTTCTCAGCCTCCCGGCTAGCTAAGATTACAGGTGTGAGCCACTGGCTCCCGGTTTATAAATTATTATTATTATTAATTTGCTGGTCCTGGGGCCTGAACTCAGGGCCTGGGCACTGCCCCTGAGTGTCTTTGTGCTAAGGCTAGTGCTCTACCACTTGAGTCACAGCCCCACTTCCAGATTTTTCTGAGTATTTTATTGGAGATAAGAGTCTCCAATAAACTCCAAGAACTTTTCTGCCATGGCTGGCTTGAACTGTGATTCTCAGATCTCAGCCTCCTGAGTAGCTAGGATGACAAGTATGAGCTAGTGGGGCCTGGTTTATAAATTATTCTTACACAAGCTGAACATCTCGTAATTCTAGCTTTTTTACTGGTTAATTGGAGATAAGAGTCTCACACACATTTTTGCTCTGACTGGCTTCAAACCTTGATCCTCAAATCTCAGGCTCTTAGCTAGGTGCCGGTGGCTCATGCCTGTAATCCTAGCTACTCAGGAGGCTAAGATCTGAGAATCGAGGTTCAAAGCCAGCCCGAGCCTGGGCAGGAAAATCCGTGAGACCCTTATCTCTAATAAACCACTAGAAAACCGGAAGTGGTACTGTGGCTCAAGCAGTAGAGCGCTCGCCTTGAGCTGAAGAGCACAGGACAGCACCCAAGCCAGAGTTCAAGCCCCATGACTGACCAAAAACAAAAAAAAAATCTTAGGCTCTTGAGTAGCTAGGATTATAGGCTTGAGCCACTGGTGTCTGGCTGTATTTGTTTTTTGAAACTAGATACTGTCATCTGAATTAGAACTACAGGATGGCTGATTAAACAGTGTTCTTTCAGAAACAATGAATGAACAGTAACTTCTGTGCCAAGTGCAAGGGAAAACCTTATGTCCTGTATGTGTGCTCAACGTTGCTGTTTTGGCTGTCCTTAGGTGGTATGACATTGCGAACATGTCCCACAACAAGTCCTTTTTTGCGTTAGAGCTGGCAAGTAAAGAGGAGACCATCCAGTTTCAAACAGTGAGTAAACAGTAAGGAATCTGAGAGGGAATGTTATTCCTAAAAGTTAACAAGTTAGCATCTGTGTGCCCTTGTGTGTTTGGAGTGGGAGGTGGTATTAGAATGATAGGATTTCATAATTTTGTAAGACACGAAGTTTTAAAATGCACTATTTTGCAAAATAACACTTGCCAAAAAGTGGTTGCTTAGCCAGGAGTGGTGGCCCAAGCCTGTAATCCTTCCTCCTTTGGGAAGTAGAGGTTGAGGATCGCCATTCAAGGCCAGCCTGGATAGACGTCGGTGAGACTCCATCTCAATCAGTGGCTGAGCACAGTGGCATCTACCTGTCATCCCAAGCTATGAGGGGAGCACCATGGCTGGGTACAGTAGTACATACTTGTCATCCCAGAGACAGAGGGAAGTACAAATTAGGAGGATTAAAGACCAGGTCAGCCTGGGCATAAAAATGAGATCCCATCTTAAAATAATGTAGTAAAAATCCAGCCAGGCTCTGATGGCTCACGCCTATAATCTTAGCTACTTAAGAGGCTGAGATCTGAGGATCATAGTTCAAAGCCAGCCCAGGCAAGAAAGTCCATGAGACTCTGATCTCCAATTAATCACAGGAAAAGCTGGAAGTGGTGCTGTGGTTCAAGTGGTAGAGCACTATCCTTGAGCAAAGCAGCTCAGGGACAGTGCACAGGCCCAGAGCTCAAGTCCCAGGACAAAAAAAAAAAAAAGGAAAAGAAAAAGAGAATAAAAATTGAACTGGACACTGGTGGCTCACATATAATCCTAGCTACTCAGGAGGATCTGAGAGGATCTGAGATCTGAGGATCATGGTTCAAAGACAGCTTGGGCAGAAAAGTCTGTGAGACTCTTCTCTCTAATTAACCAGAAAACCAGCAATGGTGCTGTGGCTTAAAGTGATAGAGCATTGGTCTTGAGCAAAAACCTTAGGGACAGTTCCCATGCCCTGAGTTCAAGCCACAGGACCAACCAAAAAAAAAAATGGTATTTTTATGTTTTAAATTTATTTAAATATCAGTCTCACACTATTGGAACAGATTATCTGTTTTTGTAACGTAAATTTTTTTTTCATTTGTGATTTTTGTCTTGAACTTACTATTTGAGGCTTTATATGCATTGGCAGCCACCTTACCACCCGAGCTATACTTCCAACCCTGTAATTTAAATTCTTGTAATGTTCATACAAGAAGCACAGTATTGGAAAACGAGAATGTCTCTTGGTGTGGGGGAAAGTGATGTGCAGAATGTCACTCAGCTGTGTCTTAGCCTCAGTGTTCATGCATGCATGCATGCGTGTGTGTGTGTGTGTGTGTCTGTGTCTGTGTCTGTGTATCTGTGTGTACGTGCATATGTGTGTTCATATGACATTATTCCTGTTTTGTTTGCCAGGAAGACATGGAAACAGCAAAGTACGTGTGGAGACTCTGTGTTGCACGACACAAATTTTATAGGCTGAACCAGTGTAACCTGTGAGTATGTCCTGTTCCTAGAAATTGTACAAAGGAAAAAAAAACAGCAGAAAGTAATGAATTTGGAAATTTTAATCTTGAGCTTTATTGTGTCATCTTCAGAGGTAAATCTTATCTAGTAGCAGCTTTTTGTCAGTTTCTTTTTTTTTTTTTTGGTCAGTCATGGGGCTTGAACTTTGGGCCTGGGCGCTGTCCCTCAGCTCTTCAGCTCAAGGCGAGTGCTCTACCAATTGAGCCACAGCACCACTTCTGGTTTTCTGGTGGTTTATTGGAGATGCTTTGAATTGTGATCCTCAGATCCTCAGATTCACTGGTGCCAGCTTGTCAGTTTCTAATAATCTTTTTGTTTATAAAAACAATATCTCCACTTTTTTTCTCATTTGGGCTTTGCAACAACTTCTAATAACAGTTATGTCTCTTAAGGTTTCTTTCAATATGTATATTGGAATCATTCTAATTCTCAAAAGTTTATTTATTTTTTTGTTGGCTGTGGGGCTTGAACTCTGGGCCTGGGCGCTGTCCCTCAGCTCTTCAGCTCAAGGCGAGCGCTCTACCACTTGAGCTACAGCGCCACTTCCGGTTTTCTGGTGGTTTATTGGAGATCGGAGTCTCACGGTCTCTCCTGCCCGGGCTGGCTTTGAACTGCGATTCTCAGATCTCAGCTTCCTGAGTAGCTAGGATTACAGGCGTGAGCCACCAGCGCCCAGCTAGTTCTCAAAAGTTTAAAAAGAGAAAGAGACTAGGAAATAATATTAAATTTTAATTGATAATCTGGTCAGTATTCTGTGTAAACCCTCAGCTTTTTAAGCCATTTGACAGCACTGCTACCTTCTCCTCCTCCTTTTTTCGTGTTATCAAGGTTTATTTTAGTAGAATAGGGTTAAAGTTGGGAGAAATAGAGAAACATTTCTTGGTCCCCCTCCTTTTACCCTACTTCCCTAAGGACCCCACTACGGACAGCTTGCCAGAGTCAGGTGACTTTCACCCATGGTCATTTCTTTCTGCTCTGTCCTTCAACTGCTCCTGCCACCCAGCCTCCGACTGACCTGTCCTTCCTCCACTGCCAGGGCCGCGCCTCCTCTGGATATCCTGGCTCCTGGCTGTTTCTTCTCCACTCCCAGCTTTCACCAGCCTCAGGTCTTCTTACTGGTGCATCCCATTTTACCCTGGGCCCTGCCCTTTCCTCAGGATGCTCCTGAATCCCACTGCTTCCTTCACTTATCCCTTTGAGTACCTACAAGGGATCTCAATGTGATATGTCGGACAAACACTTTTCTCCAACCTACTTCTTTCCTACCGCTTCCCACACGGACAGCAGCAAACCACGCTCCCCTAGTTGCTCAGGCCCCACACCTAGAAGATAGGAGATCGGGTTTCCATTCCTCTTTCAAACTGCATCCAACTCATCAGCAAGCCCTGCCAACTCTACTTTGAAGACAGATCTGAAATCTGATTTTTTTTTATTGTGAAAATACCGTACAGAGGGGTTATAATTACATGGGCAAGATAATGAGTACATTTCTTATCAAGCATTGTTGCCTCCTCCTTTGTTTCCCCTTCCCATCCCCTTTTCTTTTTTGCCAGTCCTGGGGCTTGAACTCAGGGCCTGGGCACTGTTTCTGACCTTCTTTTGTTCAAGGCTAATGCTCTACCACATTGAGCCCACAGCCCATTTGGGGATTTTTCTGTTTATGTGATACTGAGGACTTGAACCCAGGGCTTCATGCATGCTAGGCCAGCACTCTACCACTAGGCCACATTCCCAGCCCCTATAACATTTTTTTATATTTGCATATAACTTACTTTGGTAATATTCACCTATTACTTCCTCTTTTTTCCAGTACTACAGATGAGAGAAAATATGCCAAGCTTACCTTTATGAGTCTGTTCTGCTTCTCTTAAGCTAATGATCTCCAGTTTCACTCATTTTCCTTTAAAGCACATAGTTTGGTTCTTTTTGGCTTGGCCTGGCTTTTCTGCTGGCTGCTTGCTTGCCTGGGGGTGCATTTGTGTTTGCAAGGGTGCCCCCTGGTGGTACAAGTAGTTCTGAATCATTGCATCAAGGGTTCCTCTGGCCAGCCTTTGTACCCAGCCACTTATTTATGATGTTACTTCTGTGCAGAAATGTGTTTTAAGAGCACATAGACACTCTGTTGGAACACAGCCTTTTCCTCTTAAGGCCTTTCATAAACTGAAGAGTATTTGTGGGGATCTATATCATAGACCACTTTATCTCTATATTTGTAGTGGTCTATATTCTAGAAAAGAGTGGAGAATCAATCATTTTGATTAAACCATAGTACCCTTCCAATAGGCATATTCATATTAATCGATTTCTTTCTGGCACATGTCACCTAGTGACTATTTATTTAGTGCTAGTCTTGGGATTTGAACTCAGAGCCTAGATGCTGTCCTTGAGCTTTTTTGTTCAAGGCTAGCACTCATCACTTGAGTCACAGTAAGATTCAGGCTTTTTGATGATTCATTTGGAGATGAGTGTCTTAGCTTGAAAAAAATGCAAGGCGTAACAATGTTTTCTGTAAAGGAGTATCCAGGAGTTGGCGCCCCTGGGCGGGCCACAATAAAATGCCTAGGTCTTTCTGTCTCTTTAAAAAAAAAAAAAGAAAGGAAAAAAGAGTCATAAACTTTCCTGTCCCGTTGACTCTGAACAACAGTCCTGAGATCTCAGCTTCCTAAGTAGCTAAGTACAGATGTGAGCCACGGTACCTGGCTTAGGAATGATTTTTAAAGTTCAGAGAGAAGCAACTAATGATTGCTTGATTGTGGTAAATTATACAATGTGACTAGTGTGATTTTGGAATATTGATATTATTGACAAATGTGAATAAAGTACATTAAACTCATTACTAGATGTGTATAATATACTTGTATATGGAACGTGTGACTCTTTTTAGTGTAAAACAATTATGTTTAAAAAACTATTTTCCAAACTTTGTTTTAAATCTGTATATATTCAAAGATTATAGAAGCCTACTTTTGCAAACTTTCTGTAATTATTTGTGATTTATTCTGTGAGCTTAATATTTATATTCAGTTTCCATGTAAAGAAAATGAAGCATTTAATATTAGCTTTCAATATTTTGGTGGGGAATAAAATTGAAAGTAACTTCAGTTTTAGCAATCTTTTTCTTTTTCTATTCTTTCTTTTTTTTTTTGTCATAGTGCTTAAACTCAGGGCCTGGGTGCTGTCCCTCAGCTCTTTTGCTCTAGTTCTCTACCACTTTGAGCCTCAGCTTGACTACTGTTGTGTTTTTTTGTTTTTGTCAGTCATGGGGCTTGAACTCTAGGCCTGGGTGCTGTCCCTCAGCTCTTCAGCTCAAGGCAAGCGCTCTGCCACTTGAGTCACTGCACCACTTGCTATTTTCTGGGGGTTAATTGGAGATAAGAGTCTCAGGAACTTTCCTGCCCAGGCTGGCTTTGAACTGTGATCCTCAGATCTCAGCCTCCTAAGTAGCTGGGATATCAGCCACTAGTTTTTGAGTGGTTAGTTGGAGATAAGAGTCTCACAAGGACTTTTCTGCCTGGGATGGCTTTGAACCATGATCCTCAGATTTCAGTCCCCAGAGTAGCTAGTATTGTAGGTGTGAGCCACAGACAACAGGCTAGCAACTGTCTCTTTGAAGGCTTTCCACATGGATTGTTTAGTCACATTTAACACCATGCTGATCCTGGGATTTTGGTAGACTTGTCCTGTCCCAGATCAGTAAACTCGTGTGTGATGGACAGTTAAGAAAACTGTAGCTGGCCTGGAACTGGGCAGTGGATCCTGGACACTTGGTTTAGGCTGGGGCAATGGTGGCTTAGAGATGGAGTCTACTTACATGGAAAAGAGGCCTTTTCTCCACAGTGTTCTGCACTCCAGTCTGATGTACAATATCATGGTGTTGGGATAGCCTTAGGTGATTCAGCTAACCTTAACCCAGGTAACTATAGTACTGTAGTTTACTGATGTGATGATACAGTGATTTCCTTCCTCATAAGGCATGTTGCTAACAGAAGCATCTTTTTATGTCACCCGAGCCTTAAAGACATTGGCTAAAAGTTTCCTTTTGCTTTTACTTAGAAAATGGGGATGATAGGACTTTTAATATTCCTTCAGTATTGGTTTAGGAATTAAATCAGTTAAAAAAACATGTTCCAACCCCATCTTCCTTATCTCACGCCTTAGTTCTGTTCGTCCCTAAGTTGAATGAAGAAAAGATTGCTCTAGTTGCTTTCCCTCTCTTGGTGGGTTGTATCCTCCACCCTGCAAAGCCAAGTAGCCCAAGAGACTAGAAAAACTTGTTTTCAGTTGGCCCTGTGTGCTGGTGGCTGGGTGCAATAGAGCGTGAGTGAGCGCCCCCTGTAGGTTAGGGCTGTTGATGAACCTTGAAGCCAGTGGCCTCTTATCAAGAGGCTGATTGATGTAGGTCCTCCCTTCCTGGAAGGGGGTAAAGGCTGCTCCCTTTTCTTCTGGGTCTACCACAGACTTCATGGGACTGTAGGAAGTCAGGAACAAGGTGGAGCAGCCCTCTCCTTTTCCAGTTTGTGGCCCATGGTTTGTTCCTTCTTGTGGACCCTGGGGAAAGAGCAAGGTAGTAAAAGGTTGGAGGGGAAAGGCAGCCACAGACCAGGCAGTGGGAGTGGATCGCTTCCCTCCCTTCCAGACAAGACTTGGAGACCGGAATATGGGGTACAGCTGGAGAGAGGCAGCTTTCCTTCCCGATCACATGCTCATCAGTATCCTTGTAGAAAAGTCCATCTGTGAAGCTAGTTGGTTGTTCTGTCCTGTTACCTGGAGTGATTGCTGGGAACTCTGGCTCTGTCCCTGCCTGCACCCAGGAAGGCTTTGGCTGCCACAAGTGGGAGCCAGACCTTCAGAGCCAGACCAGCCATCTTGAAGCAGCCTAGACATGCTAGGCTACCCTGGAATAGAGAGAGGGAATGAAGGAGGGGAGAGAGGATGAGTTCTTGCTTTTGTTACCCTTATGGAGAGCTCA